ACGCGAGAGAGAAGTGAAACTCTGAAGGGAAAAATAGCGGCTGAGAGTATTTAATGGTGCAGCGTGTCTGTCATGGAGGTTCTAGTGTTCGAGACCCGACGGTGGCGGATTTTGGGCTCTAGCTGGATCATTAGGTTGACTTATCTATTAAAAAGCTCTAGGTAACACACTTTCATAGGCCAGTTTGATATTTAATTCACAATGATAACTATTTGTAGTAATGAAGTCATCTCTTCTTGATCATCTTTCTCGATCATAACTGGTCGTAGTCATCCATTAAAAATGCAACGAAGGATTATTGCATAGAGTTGAATATTAATACGGCTTGATTGGAATAATTTCATTTTTACACCTCCCTGATGAAGGTGAAACACATACTGAAATTTGGACTATGAACTAGTGTTGACATTCACACCACATCCACTAGTTTTGAAAGATTTTATAATAATAAATTAATCACGTTTTCCAGTACGTAAAAGTTCCACTAACTGCACAATAATAAAGTGCACTCCTTCCGTGCTGCTTGGCATGCGTGGCGAGGCGTGACGTTGGCGTCGGTGTTGCAGGTGCCGCAGGAGGGCCCGTCGGAGCTGGAGGCGGTGGGCGGGTCGGAGCTGCTGTTCGCCGGCGGCGGCGGTGGAGACGGTGCGCACAGCGAGCGCCCCGCGCCCGACGCCCACGGCGCCCCCGCGGACGCCGACGCCGACGCCGCCCTCGAGCCCTGCTACCTGCTCATCTTCAAGTGACGCGCCCGCCACCGCCATCGGGGAAAGCGCCGTGACGCCGTCTTGTTATTTCGCGATTGGAAGTGCCGGGGGCTAAAGTGGTATCTTCGAATGACGTCCTTCTGTTACAGTGCACGCTTTACAACAAATGTTGAGTTGGTTAAACTGTGAAATTGTAAGTGATGGCAATGGGAATACGTACATGTTTGGAACTCCATTCATGTGTTCATATGACATTCCAGTCACTTCAACTATTCATTTTCAAGAGACACGGCCCCCACCGTCCATATGCGATTTCAAGAAAAGATTCGTTACGTCTTTTTATAAACATGCAATTTGAATAGTAGTTGGCTCTTACCTTTGAATGACGTTCTAATTCAGTGCACAACTTAAAAAACAAATGTTCAGTTGGTTGGAAGCTGGGGATTTAGTAAGTGATGACAAAGGGGATCCACACGTGTTTAGAATTCTATTCATGTGGATACCCTACCGTCGTGTTATTCTAGTTTGTTTTGTTTTTTTTTTTTCAGTAAAAGTTGCTAAGCTTCCTTACGTTTTGTTATTAGCGTTGACAGTATAATAGTCCTGAGACAAAAGAGTATCTTCAAATGATGCCCTTATTCAGTGCAAACACTTTAACAAATGTTTATTTGGTCGAATTGTGAAATTGTAAGCTCGTCTATGAGAGCATGTTTGGAATTTGTACCTTGGTTATGTTAATCAGTTTAGTAATATAGTAATTAATCAATTAATGAATATTGTATCTATGCCTCTACAAGGCTGATACCTAGATAACGTCCTTTTTTAGGTTTTGTTTTCCTATTTGATACAAATTTTGAGTTTATTTTCTTAGTATTTAAGCGAAAATGTTAGAAGGAATCCCATAATGAAAACATCCTTTCTTTTCAGAGTTTGAAACGTATTAAATAGTCCAAATGCAGAAAAAGGACATCTAGGTATCACTATTTCTATTACTTAAGATCTTTTGGATCGCATAATGTTCATTATCAGGGCTAATCTTACAATATAAACAAGTATTTAATTGGCTGTCTGGGAAACGCCGCGTCCATGGCAAAGGTGCCGACGTTTCGGTCGCCATTCTGCGACCTTCTTCACGGCGAAATGGGAGGAAGGTCGCAGAATGGCGACCCAAACGTCGGCACCTTCGCCATGGACGCGGCGTCACCCGGTCAGCCAATTAAATACTGATTCCGGCCGAGGACGCCTACGCTCTCAATATAAACAAGAATCACATAAAAACAAATAAAAAATGAGAATTAGTTATCTCACAAAACATTGCGTGATGAATCATAAATGTAAGTTAGCCAGCCCGAATTTCAAAGATGTCTGGTAGAGGTTAGAGTCCAACGAGTCTTGACTTGCCGACATAATAAATAACCTTTAAAATACATCTTTGAAATTCGGGCTCGCTGACATATATGGTTCATCACGCAATGCATTTTGAAAAAAGTATCTCTCAATTTTTCCATTTTTTTATGATTCTTGTTTATATTTTCAGATTAGCTCTGATGTTACACGATCGAAAAGATCTTAAATAATAAAAACAAAGATATGTAGAGAACATATTTTTTTCTGAATTTTTCCAACGTATGAACTCACCAGACATTTTATTAAAAATAATCTAAACTTTTAGATTAGAATATGAAATGTTGTATATCTGTAGCTCAAAAATATGAATTTTCTCGTAAGGCATACATTTATTATTTGAAGAATAAATAATATTGTTATATTAATAATATTTTCTGTTGTATGTACTGAACATTGTTAATTAATTGTTACATATAGGTATTATTGCATGGATATCCATTAGAAGTATGGTAATATGGCGTAGACCGTCTTACCCACACATTATTTTGTTATTTAAATACGTTTTAAGCAGCAGTTCCGATGAAGGGCGTCATCTCGTCTTTAATTTATATATTACAATGATAAAGTTCCTTGTAAGTGCCTTCAACTTATTAGTATACAAATGTGCTGCTGCGTGTATTTGAAGTCCAGCTTTTAATGAAAAAAGCGTGAAAAATGAATTAATTGAATGAATTAAATATACAATACTTAGTTTATTATTATGACGTTTGTATTATTTTTTCCTAATAACTGTTCCTAAAGATATTTCCTAATAATTTACGTAATTTGAATATGTATATATTTGTGTGGCCTTTAGTTTCTTTTACACTTCCTACATTACACGAATATTAGAGAACAATTACTGGAATCTGTTAAAACATTCACGGTGTACCAACTTCGGTGACACAATCGTCTCTGAAGGTCCCCCACATGAATAATAGTAATTGTTTGTATCATGGCTTTGGCTCTTACGATGTTCGTCTTCTGTGTGTGTCACTCAAAACTCGTGCTGTTTACACGGATTTGGGCTCTGACTTGTTCATACATTCTCCTTGGCTTCGTGAGGTAAGCCCACTTCAAATAATTGTCAAAAGTATTGAGAGCTTGGGAAGAGTTGACGGAGAGGCAGTTGCTGAGAGAAAAGAACGCGTCGGAGTGGAGAAAGGAACGAGGAGTGGGAAGTTGCGTCCGCGCAATGTGAGCAGAGGAGCTCAAGGCAGCCTGCGGAAGGGGGAGACTATGTGACATGGGACCGGAAGAAACATTTTTATAAATTCAGCTGCAAACGAACTGCAAAAGAGCTGCAAACTGAAACGTTGAGGAAAGTGTTTAGAACAATGTGACAGTTCTCCATATAGGACGTCTGTGCGTGACACTCCAAGAGTATTGAAGTTAGAGAGTAGTAATTGAAGGTAATGGAGGTGGGGATGATGCTGATGGCCTGCAGAGACCAGGATTGAGAGAGAGCTCGCGAGAGAGAGAGAGAGGATTAATTGGCTGAGGAGCGGGGCTAGATCAAGTTGAATTGGAGCGAGGAAGCAGTAGGGTGATAAGCGGGAATAGAGCGAGCCGGAGAACGGCGAGCGAAGAGGAGGGACGAGGATCCTTGAGCTATGCGCAACACGGCCGAGGAGGGTTCGAACGGGAGGCGGACTGAGGAGTGGAGCGAGACAAGCACCGGAGCGAAGATTGGAGGAGGCGAGACGCGAAAGATTGCTGCAGAGCAAGGGGTGGTGCCGGGCACACCAGAGCGTGAGGGAAGCAGAAAATCGGTCAGGAATGGGGGGAGGGGGTAGAGAGAAACACTGCGGTAGGATGGCGGGAGAGGAGTTGGTTAAGGAATGAGACACCGAGCTAGAGCGGGTTGTGTAGGAGCGGGTCGGGAAGCGCGGCGACTGCAGCCCAACAGGGTGAGAACGGAGCAGAGAGCGGGGAGTGGAGTGCGCCGCGTCTGCAGTCGAGCGAAACACCGTTTTATTTGCGCGTCTCCTCTAACCCTCTGCCGTTCAACGACGGAGCGGCGGGGTGGGGTGGGGCTGGCCGCAGCCCTTTTATAGCGAAAATGAGCCGCTGCAAGAAGGCAAGCAGCGACGGACAGACGCCGGCGGCCGGGCGAAGCGACGCACTTGCACGCCACTCACTACCAGACGGAGGTTGCTGGTACGAGTAGTAATGCACATGGTGACGGAGCTATGGCGACAGAAAGGAAAGGAGGAATAGTATCGATGACTTTCGAGATGAAGTGTAATTATTCATAGTGAGGAGATGAGATACGAAGTGAACAAAGGCAGTTGCAGAGGTATACGTTCTGCTGTATTGTAGTGTGATTGAATAAGCGTTGTTTTAATATTATCATAGGACACAATATGTAAACTTATGTGCCACCTGTCACGTAATACCCAAAATAGATGATATGCTGAAGAAATATTTCGGGTTCGTACGATTTTTAATAGATACAATCTAAACAAAATTCCTAAATAAGCTACTTTTGGATAAGGAATTACTCCCCGAGGTTGCACAAATGATTTTGGTATGAGCTTAGACAATAAAAAATATGAAAAAATAAAAAAGCTGTCTTAATGTGAACAAGAAACGCATTCGTACTCCTTTGGGCCAGGATTTCTTGCCATTGTGCCTATAGGATCCTTTCACAATGCCCATTCGCTCAAAATGCTTGTTCGACGTCATTCGCACAAAATTTGTCTCGCCTGTCTGCCTGAATCTCGTATCCATTACACAAACGCGTTACATTACGCCACGAAGAAGCGTCGTGGACTCGCCAAGCAGAATCACCATCACCCCCGTTTAATTCCTCACCTCTCAACTCTTTCCCTTCACTGTCCTTCGTGTAAGAGAAGCGAAGAGCCATGAGACGAGAAGACCACAAAACTAAGGAAACGTTTCCAACGAGACCCTGTTTTCTTGTGGTTCGACGCTTCATCGCGAGCACACTCTTCACTTTGTTAGTTGCAAGCGGCAGCCCGCCAGGCTAATGATGCAACTCTCGCGGCGCTCTGCGAGACAATAAACGACTGCGCGAGCGCGCAAGGTCGCCTTCGTTAGTGGTTGATGGCGAAGGCGGGTGCTGAACAAAGGGGCCGTCTCTCGCCCTCTGCTGGACGAAGTACTCGTTTTGGGGATCGAGGCGACTAGTAAAACTGTACTGTGCAGAAAAAAAAAACGTTCGCATTACAGTTTTGATTGACTTGCGTCGCTTACACTCCGTTGCTGCCTGCCAACTTTCCCTCTGCCTTTCAATGTGGTGTAGCCCCAGTGTGCGGGAGCAGTTAATACCCTTCGAGTACTATTCCGTTAGACGCACAAGATCTTAATAGCACTACGTGATCGTTGCACGACTCAAAGAAATTATTCCTGGTAGGTTTCCATGCATGGAGAGCCTGGAAAGGGAGACTCTTTCCCTTCACCTGCAGATACAAATGACGCCCTCCACAGTACGTAGCGGTTCCAAAGGTTTCCGAGCTGACCAAGATAAAGCTCATCTAAGGAAAAACCTGAGTAGTATACAGTTATATTTTAATAGTTGTAATGCTATATGTTTGCAGCCGACATCTCGTTCTGTGTTATGGAGAAAGGTACTTGAGTTGGATGCAGTGCGTGAAAACCCATGGTGTTTAGCTTCTTCACAACAA